GGAAGGGGAGTGGGGGGGGGGGGGAGAGAGAGAGAGAGAGAGAGAGAGAGAGAGAGAGAGAGAGAGAGAGAGAGAGAGAGAGAGAGAGAGAGAGAGAGAGAGAGAGAGAGAGAGCTCATGGCCTTTAGAAGCGTTGAGATTTTTTAGCCGCACTGAGACTTGCCAAAAAAACGCTGTTGCCTGTACGTTGCCCGGCGAGACAAGAGAGTGTTTGTGTTGTGCGACAGAATTGGGACACGCGCAAAACTGCAAATCGAGCAACGGTCGACGAAACCACCAGACGAACCAACGAAGAGAACAAGATCAGTCCGTGCTCGAGAGCCGGCACTGCTCCTGCCGCACGTAGCACGTAAAAAACACAAAAACTCCCGGGGTGTCAGCTGTAACACATAATACACCTGTGCAAGCACACTCGCAGCAGCCTGCCTAAAGGAAGACTGCTGCTGCTATGTGCGCGCGTCCACCCGGAGTTCAGCAAAGCCTACAAACCAATACCCAACAACAACAAGCTCACAGCTGGGACTGAAGCGAAGCCCCGCCGTTCCCGCCGAGTCCAGCCGCCCCCCCGCCCACCCCGCCTGCTGTGCCCCCCTGTCCCGCCGCAGCTGGTGGCCGCTCCAGGTCCTGCCGGACGACCAAGAATAAAAAAAAGGTCCACAGGTCGGCAAACGAAGGCCCGGAAATAAAATAAAACCACGCGACGCCAAACAAGTCTAACGCCAAGCTCGTCGATCGGCACAGCGGGGATCAACACACGCAAACACGGAGTCTCGTGGCAGCGGGAAACATGCAAGAGTCTGTGTTTCTTCTCGTTCTCTGCTAAATGGTGCTACACATGCCTGTGAGCGAAGGAGGCGGCCGAGGGAGGGAAGGAGGGAGAGAGAACTGGCGGCATGCTCTCAACTTCTGGGTGGGGCTGCTCAAGCTTGTAAACGTTCGGCAAAGGGGTGTCGCATAATTCCCTGGCTTTCGGTCCGACACCCGTGCTGACGCTACGGGCTACGAAAATGGTCTGATGAGGTCCCCTCTGGCCTTCTCTGGCTCTGCCCCTCCAACAAAGACAAGCTCGCCTGTATTGTTATCGGGGACAGGAAGCGGTAGAGCCCGGTCTCCACCGCCCCTGCCCCGGCCACGTAGGGCTGCAGGGAAGGGGCCACTGCCGTCGACCCCCTCAGCAGGTCTTCCATTCTTCTCCGCCTAATGGCACGCACAGCACAAAACAAGACAAGGAAAGGAAAACACACACACACACATAACTCGTGGGATGAAAGGCCATGCATAGAAGAACACAAAGTAGCAAAAAAAGGGACGGATGGCCACACAGTTGACTTGACTATCGATACAGTGTTAGTACACATGATGACTGAATCCCCACCCTTGAGTTGAGATCATAAAAACCGGGCATGTTTCTCGCCTGCGGGGCTTGACCCATCCCTCAAACTTACGATCCTTCTTGGGGGAGAGGAAAGACAGAGATAGCAACAGTAGCCTTCGCAGCGTCTTTCGTATTATGTGGAAAATAAACAAGTTGGGTAAAGCATACAATCGGGGAAGTTTGGGTTAGGGTTAGGGAATAGGGTCTGCGTGCCCCCTACCCGCTCCATTTCCTCATACACGTCTTTATCGCGCGAAGGCGGTCCGATAGCAACAGTAGCAGTTCGCGCAGAGAGAGCGCGAGAGAACACTCACCCTCTGCTTTTTCTTCGAGACCCGTGCCCCTTCGAGTCCATCGCCACGTCCCCGTGCTCCCCGTTCTGCTTGGCCTTGGCGATCTTCTGGAAGTACTTCTGCGCGTGGGTCCGGATCTGCACCACCGTCCTCGTCTTGATGAGCGACGCGATCTTCTTCCAACCCTTGCCGTGCAGCTCCAGCCCCCGCAGGAAGAGCCTGTGCTCGTCGTACGTCCATCGCCCCGTGTTCTAACGTTGCCGTCGAGGTAGGCAAGCCAGCGGGCCCGGGGGGGGGGGCGGGGGGTGGTCGAGCGTCATGCATGGCGGCCATCCAACGAGAGCAGTTGTTTCGGTGGATTTTCAGTAAATCCTCGTCGGTAGCTTTTGCTGCTGTTCACACGGCGGTTTCCATGCAAACCACGGGACCCCTTTGTTGTTTCAGCCGTGCGGCAGGTTACCATGGGTGACAAACACATCCATCAGTGTACACCCAGGTCATGCTACGGGGTTCCCCTTCGAGCGGGAGTTTTCTGACGGGGCTCAGAACGCGAACAAAAGTCGTGAGCAAGATGAAGACTTCTATCAGATCATGCACCACCTATCGTGACAGCAGTATCTCTTGGCTGTTTCTCTCAACACAGCGCCATCACCGTCATCGTGGTATCTTACCTTCGGCGTCATTGTCACCGATGTTTCTAGCCAGCGTCCTACCATGCCATCTTCCAGACGAAGGCAAGTGGCATTTATTCCAACAAAAACAACGACAGCAACAGCGACAGCAACAAAAACCAAAACAACAACAACAACAACATGAACAACAATGAACACAACTTGGGGCACGTGAAAACCAGAACAGAAAAAACCTGCCGCTCCCGTCGAAGCACCCGACGAGGCACGCCTTAGCAGGCGGTGCTCTGAAACAGCTCAACAACATCGAACAACTCCCCGCATCACCTCCTTGACGGGCCCACCCTCTTCCCCGTCCGCTCCGCCGCCGCCACCGCCACCCGCCGCCGCCGCCGCCGCCGCCCCCCCCGCCACGGCTCCCGCCGAGCCCTGTCCCACGGCACCCGCCCGCACATACCCTGGCGGGGGGTGCTGGGGGAGGCGATGTGCCGCCGCTGCCGCGGCCGC